CTTGTCTAGCTTGGATTAACACATAGTCTACAGGCACACACCTGATCATCTACATTTGCTCTCTTACAACACTAAACTATGTTTTCTACCTTTATCTTGCATCTACCTACCACTTCAGCATTTTATTAAAAATAATAATAATAAAGAGAGAAATGTGGTATCCATATATAAATCAAGTATAAAAATCAAACGAATATTCATATTTGAACTGTTTATAGTTCATAATGCATGATCAAAACCGAAAGTTTCTGTGATGACTGCCCTTGTACTGTTCACCATGTAACTTATTCGCTATGTAAGAATTTGTTCACCATGTAAGAACTTGTTCGTTGTGCTTCAAAAGATTGGAGACTGACGAAAATTAGGCTTGGGGTGGATTAATGATTATACATTGAGCATTGAGTCCCCTATACAGAATTTTATTGTTGTTAACAACCATTTGATCAATAAATAGGAGAGATGCCCTCACCAAAAAAAAAAAGTACACACTTACAATTATAAAATAAATAAGTAACCGGGATGTAATGTATAGCATAAGGAATATAGTCAAAATATTGTAACAAGTTGGTATGTTCAATCACTGTGTTGTACACCTGAAACTAATGTAATACTGTATGTCAACTACCCTTCAATAAAAAATAATCATCTAAAAAAAAAATGCTCCTATCCTGAGTAGGTTGAATAACTTTCTTGCCAACTTGTGCAGTTGTCCTTCCATTTTCTATTTCTGTAGCTGAAAGACAATTACTGTTTTCTCTGTTTGTCCTGGGACCTAACACCGTTTCATGCTCAGTGTTTTTACATGGATGGGAGTCTAGATAGGCAGATGAACAGATGGATTTCAAAGAAGCCTTTCAGTTTTTGCAGATTTTAATCTTACTTGGGATGGCAAATCTGACTTTTTTAGGTTAATGATAGTAACTGCCACATCCTGCTCTAATTTTATTCCTAGAGCCATAAAGTCGTCAGCCATGGTAATTGGGATTCTCTTGCTTTCCTAGGTACAAGATTGTAGGTTAAAATTGAACTGACTTGAAATAAAACATTAGAATCTTCCTATTCCTCAGTGAGAACCAAAACAGTTATTAATAAGCTGATGTTGAGAAAACAGCATGTCTTCAAACCTAATCATCAGGGTGGTGGTTTTCCAGCTGTTTTCCCAGAGAAACTCACACCAGATGCCTACATGTACAAGCACACCACCACTTCTTACTGTCCACATCATTAGATCCAATATCATTTTTAAATTATTTTGTAATGAAGTTGACAAAACAATTAAAAAGATTCCCAGTCTTTTCTTTTAAGAGGAAAAGATACAAATAAACTTCTCTTCGTTTTAAGGTTTTCCTCGCATTTATTTTTCACGAATCTTGATGTCTGCTTGTTGTTTCTTTTTACCAGATTCTGGGATCATTTAGTTTCTAATTTACTTCAAAACTTAAATACTTCGATACCAAACTGACAAGTCAGTATTAAGAGGGGCTTTACACCAAAGAAAACTTTTAAGCTACTGCATTAAAACATACTTCCTTTACTTAGGGGATGGAGAGAGAGACACATGGGGAGTGACTACTTAAAGGTTTCCTTTTGTGGTGATGAGAATGTTTTGAAACTAGATAGGTGATGGTTGTACAACATTGTAAATGTACTAAATGCCATTAAATTATATGCTTTAAAATGGTTAATTTTGTGTTACATGAATTTTACTGTGATTTTTTTTAAATCTCCTTTTTTTATTCCGTGCCATATCTGAATTATCACAATGTATGCTGTAGTTCAGAGAATAATGTCTTCCATATACTTATTCCTTCAAATTGTGATTATTAGAGTGAAATGAACACTTGCTGATTAACTGCTAGAATAATAAGAATAAACCAGGGTTAACCAGGGAAGACTGGGAGAACAGTCATCTTACCTAAAGCTCACACCAGATGCTTACATGTACAAGCTCATCACCACTTCTTTACTGTCCACATCATTAGATCCAATATCATTTTTAAATTATTTCCTAACGTTCATATACAGAACTTGAGTCTTTAAAAAAAAGTCTGTATACAGTTGACAGAAACTTTCCACATGCGAGTAAAAAGCCTATTTAAAATTTATAGAAAGAACAATCTTAACTGAGTTAAAAAACTCAATAGAATTGAATACAGACATTCTTATCTTTAATAGAAGCAATAAGACTTTAAACCTGTTTTTGTTAAATCCTGTTTCCACTAGTGTTTTGGATAGACCTTATCTGCCATTGGCTAATAAACAGGTAGCTTGGTCTGCACATGCAGTTACTCATGCAGACACACAGATACTACAGTCATGTTCTCTTTTCTGTGATATCACTAGTCAATTCCTGCAATCAAATATTGTCAAACAGCATGGGAAAACCTAGTATATTTAAGTTAATGAAAGATGAAAATACCTTATTAATATGCTTACTCTCAAACTTTTAAACAACATCTTTCTCCAAGACATCTTTAGTCCTCAGACATATTTTAATTTTCATACAAAGTACCTTTGTTAAGGTTCACATTTCTGTAGCCTTTCTCTTAATTATAGTTTCAGATGTAGTTTTATCATATATTTTTTTTCTCTTAAACCAGTATTTTAATGGAGTATCCGATGTTTGTTGTTACTAATAAAGTAGTATCACATTCAAACTTAAGTGGGCTCTAATGTATATGTCTTACCTTTTCTTTAGAGCTGTCAAGTAATCCACCTCTAGCTACTATCCTTATTCCTCCTCATGCTCGGATCCAAGCAGCTGCTTCCACCCCTACAAATGCCACAGCAGCCTCAGGTGAGAACACTTAAGTTTCTTCTATAAAAAACATAGTTTTTTTATAAAAGACAAGATTACCTCCATTTTATTTCATTTGGTGCATGTGAACATTTAACACTTCCAAGAATCAAAAACATAGCACAGCCAAATGAATAAATGTAAGTAAAATGGTGCTATACTTCTAAAAAGCACAAAACAAAAGGATCACATAAATACTTTACATATAAGGTGTAAATATCTTATTATAATGTTAAATTCTTTTACCTTAGTTGTTATTTTAAAAGGCTTTCCGTATGATTTCTTGATTAATATATATCAAAGGAGGTGCTTACAGCAGAAAACAACCTATATAAATGTAATGTTATTGAAGATAATTCATTTTAGTTCCATCACCCTAAATGTAAATTTTATTAGTATACTGGAGAGGCAGATTTTCAAGAAAAGTTATAAAATACAGATTGGCATAATTTAATCATTTGAAAGAGCTAAAACTGCAATGCAGACACCCTTAAGTAAGATCTAATCAGAATATAACTAGATACTGTCTATCCAGATTAAAAAAACGCCCACTTTTTCTCCCAGGTGTATTGCTGGCCCATTAGCCAGCTAATGGAGCCTGATTTAATGGGAATGACTGTCAATACAGATATTCTGAAAACACCCAACCCCTGACTGAATTGAAGGTCCTCTGAAGAATGGCTGGATGCTGTATAAAATGAAGTTAAAAATACAATAATACAGTTAGGCTCAGAACTTGGTGTGCTTTTTTTTCCCTACAAAAGTCGATGTCAGGAGCTGGCTCCTTTTTCATTAAATCGTCGATTATATTGATCTGAGTTGGCTCAGACCCATTTTTGCCTAAGGGCATTTATACTGCAGGAGATAAAATCATTCATTATTAATTCTTAGCATGCAATATAGTAAGGTCAAAATCCATCTCCTGTTACCTGACAGAGTTGTTTGTTCCTGTCCAATCTTAGTCTTCTAGAACATTGCAAATACTGAAAACATTCATATCCTGCCTTCATTCCAGAAAAAAATCTAGAAAGGAGGGTCTGTCTGCTAGTTCTGGTTCCATCAGCATATGCTACCTTGAGAAAGTCATTTGAACTTAGTTTTACTAGTGTCTTAACAATTTTCTAAATTTGTAAGTGATGGCAGTTCTCTCCTAGAGTAATGTAAAAAGCAAATATGTACTGGAATATGCTTTAAATATATTAAATGTAAAAATAGTTTCTTTTTAACTATGAAAACAGAATTGCTTAGATGAGCTGTTATAAAACTTAATAAATCACTGGCTTAGGCTAGTTTGATTGTTCAAAACATGAAATAGGCCCTAACTCTGAACTAACTCATTTACTTGTTGAGCTACTTTCCAGGAGTTTTATTAGATTTTCTTTACACTATGAAATGAGAATTATGACTAGTAAGTTTTGACTAATTTTAAATTATTTTCTTAATGTGAAATAGTAAATAGTTAATGTAAACTAAGGTTTTGGAGCAAATTGTCTGCCAAGTAGGAGCCTAGTGTGACCTAATTTTTATGTTGCTTTGATACAGGTTACAGCAGTTGCCAAAAAATATTTCATTGCTATATATGTATATATTTATGCTTATGGGTGTTGAAATCAAATTTCAACATAAATACTGGAACTGATGTTAGACTGATCCTGAGAGTTTACTTTGATGTAGAAGTAAATCAGAATATGAGGAATTTAATAGAGGAATGGTAGGCTGAGGGCAGAGCTTAAATTAAAGAAACACATGCCTTGATCATTTTAAGTTACTAGTTATCAAAGAGGATTTCACATATGCTCTGAGTTTCCTAGTGGCTAAGGTAAATAAAGAAATGTTATCTGTTAAAATTGCCCATTGTTCACTAGATTAAAAGCACACAGTGGCTTAGGGGAAGTACACTGTTTCTGGCCCTGAGAAGTATTTCTCCCTAGGACCTTGGATTTGGTACTGTAAGAGATACACTAAATGAAGTTGTCATCACCATTCCAACAATAAATAGAGTAGTGAGTTTCACACTGATACTTTTGGAAATGTCCCTGAGTGTAAGCCAAAGGCATAACACCACAGTATAACTAAAGGAAAATAGTTTTCTTTGGAGCCAAAGTAGTGAGAGCCAAGTATGTCTCCAAACATACCCGAGGAAATGCTGATATAGGTGAAGGGATTGACTGACATTAGCAGCTACCTGTATTTAATAAATAAATGTGTATGTGCATATTTATTTTAAATAAGAATTTGGTCTGATATATTCTTTAATAGGACCTTAAACTATACATGCTCTCTGTTGTCTCTCTTAGCTTCAATTTCTTTATCCATAAAACAGGAATTGTAAATATCTACTGCATAGAGTTGTGAGAAGTTAAGATGTAAAGTATATAAAGTGCTTATTAGCTAGTGTTGTATTCAAAGTTCAGGTAGTAACTGTAGGTGAACTGATTTCCAAGGTGACCTCTTGGAAAGCTTTATTATCTATTAATGAGACCCAACAAAGTCCATACTTTTTATTCACTAATCCCACTGTAAGGATCTTAAATTCAGGATACATCTGACAGAAGTAAAGAAGCTACCATGTTCAGAGATATGAATAGGAATAATTATGACAACAAAAAGGAGAACCAATCTGATATGAATGGTTAACACTAGAAAATTCTTCCAGTACATTATGGAATCTCCATTTTTATGTAACCATAAAAAACAATGATTATGAAGTTTATAGACATGTGGAAATATCAATCTTAATTTATGTGGAGAAAATCTAAAATTCTTATGTTCCATGTTGTAACTGCTAAAATGCGTGGTATGCATGTGGATAGGGACAAGAGAAATATGCAAATAGAAGAGTAGTGCTAAATTAGTGGGTATGGATGCTGATTTTGTTTTTCTCAAAAACTTTCACATTCTTTTTAAATTTTCTTCAGAACACCTCAGTGTCTGGGGGATTTAGATTATATAGAATAATAAATCCTGATAAATTGTAGTTTTTTAATTAAAAAATAAGAACCACTTTAGAGATCATCTGGTCCAGTGCCAGATGTATTAAGTGTGAGATGTGGTAGGAATTTCAACTAGAGAAATTTTCTCTGTCTGTTGTATATCAGTCTTCCGAGTAAGTTTTCTTTCAGTGCAATGGTTCTATTAAAACAAATTTGAAACTGCTGATTGCAGTTCACCTCTCTCATTATTTACTGAGAACTAGTCATCTATCCCATGTTTATGCATACAAGTAATGAACAATGGAAACTCATTATTACTGTGAGAACAAACATATCCCATCTTTTTATCACTCTGTGAGAAAGTTTATCCCTTTTTTCATCCTGACATTTGTCCCCTTACACTTCCACTCAACAGTCCTACTCTGGGGTTATAAACAACCAACCCAATCCTTACATACAAAAGTCCTTCAAATTTTAATGATATCTAATGTGCCCTTTACACTAATGAAAATTCTAAACCCTAATCCTGAATATGTTCTTAAGTGTCAGGCTATTGGGTTTTCCATACTATTATAATGTCATCTGCATATTTCATAAATATAGATTTTTTTACCTCTATCCAAGCAATTGAGTAGAGGTAGGGCCTACTAGAGATTTTTTTGCCTTTACCTAACTCAGTCACTGATAAAATAAATTAAATGGGATTAGCCACGGTTTATGAGAGATTATTCTTATGGTGGTCTCTGAGTGATTCATTACTCTTTTCATTCTTTGCTTAGTTATAGACCAACATACTCATTTATATAATAATGTTACAAAAAACCTTTTAAAATGCTTTGCCGTTGTCAAGAAAACTTCCAGTATTTTTCCGTCAAAAACTTTATCAAAGATGGAAATTAAACTGTTTCTATTTTAGCATTTGTTTCTTGGACTGTAGATTCTGGGTTTAAAGACATTTAAAATGTGTAGATTAGCCCTCACCTTCCTTGGGCTGCATTTTGTTTATTAGGATTTTTGTTATATCCTTTCCAGGTTGAAAACCCTTCTAACAGAAAAGGGAATCATGATAGGAGTTGGACAAGGTCTGTCGTCTCTTCTTACCTGGTCAGGGGGCTTAACTTTCCTTGGTCTTGATTTGAAACCTTTTGCTATTACCTTATTTAAACCAAATCTGGCCTGTTCTTAAGAGGTTCACATTGTTGTTTTCTATTTTTTTTAGAAATGTGCCCTTCTACTTAAACTTATATATTCTTAAAATTTTGAGCTCATAAGAGAAAACCTTTTTAGTTGGTATCTTTGGTTCTTCTCTCCCTTTACTTTGCACTGAGATTATTTGCAATTGCTTAATCAGAATTTGGGTGGGGGCTTAAATATTTTTTGTTTCACATATTTTGTTTTATGTTTTTGTTTTACATATTTATATTTTCTGTTTATTGTCAGTTATTAGCCCCTTTTGAAAACTCTGGCCACAAAAATCATACCTATTTGTTCCCTGAACTTTTGAAATCCATTTTTCTAAAGTCATTGTGCAGATTTAACCAGGGCCAGTGGTCCCCTTTTCCTTACTATAAAATAGTTTGTGGTTGTTTTTACCCCAGAATTCCTTTCATCTTTTACATCACCAGCCAATTCTTTCTAGTTGGGCAGAATTAACCCCAAAATAGTATCTCCCATTGTTTATTTGTTTCCACTGATTTTGAGAGAATGAAATGTCAAATTAAGTCAGTGTTTTTGTCAAATGCTTACTTTCCTAAAATAACAATCACCATCCCTTCATCCCCTCCCCAAGTACTATCATCCTTTTCCTCTATGCCACTTTTACAGTGTTCATTGGGAAAGTTGTAGTCATATCCTATCTAGTTGTAGAATCTACAGTATATGCCCTCAGGTGTTCCTCCTCCTAGCTCTGACCTCTCAGGCTTCTCTTTATCTTAACCCAAATGTATGTGGAATTTCATAAAAGTATAAAGCTTTAAAAATAAAATAGGGATTTTTCTCTGTTAAAACATAATGTATATTTATTTTAGAAAATAAAAATGTCCCATATTCTCAACTCTAAAAGTAGTCAAAGGTAACATTATTCTGTATTTTGGACTATGTATTATAATGGGAGACACATGGTTTTTGTTTTTTAAATGGGCCATGCTATTTTGGGGGGTGGAATGTATGAATATATAGTATTAAACTGGTATTCTAAGACTGTACCATTAATTTATTTAACTGATTACTTTCTTTTGGATATTTGGGTTGTGTCCCACCGTTTAGAAATGTTAGGGGGTCATTGTTTATTTTCCTCAGTTCTTCTCCCGCCTCAACAAAGAATTGAAGGGCAAAGACACAGCAGTGAAGCAAAGTAAAAGTTTTATTTTAAGTTACCTAAAGAGGAAAAAGTACAGGAGACCTCAGAGAGAAAGTGCACTCTGAGAGAAAGGAGAGTGTGGGCTACCTCAGAGAGAGAGAGAGGTGCTCTGAAAGATCGGGAAAAAGTCAAAGTTATGTACTTACGAAGTGCGGGCAACCTCAGAGAGAAGTACATACTGAAAGGTTGAGGGTTCCCCCTTTTAAGGATTTTTCAGGAATGTGACAAAGGGCTAGGGGTGTGGACCTGTTAAGTGATCTCAATATGTTTATCTTTGATGAGACATTAAGTTTCTTATTAGTCCTTCATTTAATTCTGCAAAATTCGCTTAACACAAGAAATTTACTGCTCTGGTTCCCTCCCAAGATAGCAACTTCCTGGTCTGGAAGCATATCAATCAAGACTGCTTGCCTCGCCCGCAAGGTGGGCTGAGTTATTATCTGTTTGCTAAAAAAAATATGTAAAGAATCTTACTTCTTAACTTCTTGGGTTTTAAAATGCAGTTTTAGCTTTAGGATGGAATTCTTTCCTGTATTATGCTGATTACAGGTGGGCCTTTTAGCAGGTTAAAGTAAATCTTACAATGGCATGGTCTAATCCACACAATGAAGACATGGGCTGTGCTCAGATACTTTTCTGTATCTGGGGCATATTCAAACATTCCAGGCCAAGTTGCTCCTGACCTTTTGAGCTTTAACTGATTAACTGATTAACTCTGAGTCTTTTCTGGGTTTCTAGTTTTGACTGGTTAACTTTTTGAGTCCCTTGTAGTAGGGCTTTACTGGCCTTAATTCTCTCTCCACCCCACTCATATCTATTTTCCTGCCTAACGGAAGTAGAATTGCTGACTCAAAAGATACAAAGAATTAAATTTTCTATACATATTGTCCAACTGCCTTCCAGAAAGCTTGTCCCAGTTGTACTGTCCACTGGCAGTGCACATATTTTTCCATTTCTCCATCACCTTAACATAGCCAGCTCAGAGTGGAGGTGGGGGTGGTGTGACATCTGTGTGCATACTTGTATATTTTTAGGAGTTACCAATTTGGTGACTAAAGAATGTGGGTGTCTTCATCATATACAGTGCTATACCCATTTCTCCTATTGGCTGTGTGTTTAAAGTATGGACTTTCGTCTACATAAACCAGTTTCACAAATCTGACACTAATGAGGTGTATTTACCCCATGCTAGGGTTTCAAGCTCACTTGGCAAGTTTGTATATAGATACTTATAGTCAAATTGGCTTAGTAATTATTTTCACCAGAGCAGTGCTAAATATCACTTCTAGAAAACTGTTTCTTTTCCTGCAAAACTTGTTTTCTCCCATTAAGTCAAAAAATTCGCCTTGGTTTTTGTCCATTCTTCCAAAATTAATGAAAAATCTTCCTGATTTAAATTGGTGAATGTCCTGTCATTCTTCCAAGGTGTTCAAGTGTTCCTTAGTTCCTTGCCTGAAGTCATCTGCTTACATTTACATGCCTTTTGTTATTCTTTATTCCTAAGTTAGGTCTTTTAACTTAAAAGATGAAAATGTTTTCTGCTTCTCCTTGGCGTTCAGTTCCCAGCCCCGAACAACCAAGCCTCTTAACATGTGCTGTGCCCCAGAGTTCACAGCTGCTAAGACCTCTCTGCTCCTGACAAATCAAATATAAACAGTCTTGTTGACCACGTTTTCTGGTGGGTTGGTTGGCTCTTTGGCATCTGAATTTCAGCTCTGTTTTTAAAATGACTTAAGCCACCTTAGTGTCTTGTGCCACATCTTTTCCTTGGAAAAATATGAAGAGGGAGGTGATGATGCTCTGCTGAATAGGGTTCCCCCTCACACTTGGAAATTATCTAAATCATAGTAGACAGTTATAAATTGATAAATGAAAATTGAGTCTTTCTTACAGGTGATACTTTGAGTTCATTAGTGTAGATTAAGATTTCAAGGTAGATGCAAGCTTAGGGTATACTTTTGATTCTCTGTGAGTAATGGTGTTGTTAGTTCATATGTCAGTTAATAACACTATAAGATTCAAGACACAGCTTTATAGTAGAAGCATTTCCACTTGGAACAGCTTGAATAGGAGCATTCTGAGTAAGCTATGCAGTATTAATATCCTAGACTGCCAAAATTTTATCTTTTAGAGGAGTTGAACTGTCATGAGACATTTTTAACTGTTACAGAAAGAGGAAAGCAGAAGAATAGAAACACATAGGCTCAGGAAAGCGTAATAAAGGAAATAAAAGTATACTCTTAAGTTCCCAAATGTACTTACAAAACACAAAAAGGATTTGTTTGAAATATCTGAAATACGCTTTTACTAAAATGCCAATAATAAAAATATTAAAAATTGAATCATTTTGTAGCTTTTGAGAACTTGAAACATGTTTAGGGTAAATAAGGAACTAAATTTTTATTTTTATATAATTTTAGTTAAATTAAAATAACCATATGTAGCTAGCAGCCACCCTATTAGAGAATGCAGATAGAACATTTCCATCATTGCTGCTGGGCTAGACAATGAACACATGTTATCAATTAGAAGACTTTACCTTTTGTAGACCCATAGTTATGGAATATTGATTCATGGGGGCCAAGACTCTGGGACCCCGGCTCCTGTGCCATTCTCTGTCCTTTCCTCACAACCTGTTTCCTTTTTTTCTACTGTTCTTTCATTTAAACCATATGGCAACAGTTTATAAAAATGTGGGACCTTCCATTCACTCTGCTTCCTCTCCGCATTTGCACATTTGATCAGACACGTTTAAAGAGAGAATAGACAGGACTTGTTGATCTGATGCATTAGATGTGTGGAGGGAGAGACGGAGGCTGAAGAATCATGGTGAGAATTTTTGGCTTATGACCTACGCAACTAGGTGGGGCAATTTCCTCAGTATTGAGACAGCTGCCTGTCAAATCCATGACTTAATTTTCTAGTGACTCTTACAGATCTCTGAGCATCTGGATGTTGGTGGGGGAGGGGAGGACAATGGATCCTCTTTTAGAAAAATATATGTTTATCATAAATGGAATTTTGCAAAAAAAAAATTTACTCTAGGACAAAAATCACAGCCTCATGGACTCTGTTGAGAATCGATACTTTAGAACTTCACTGTGAGATTGCATTTTTGTCTCTGAAGTCCCACAGAATAAAATTGGTTTCAGGAAATACATGCACAAATTCCCTTTGCCATATCTAGTACAAAAGTGATAGAGCCATAGACTCTTCTCAGAATTAGGGAGAAAACAGTTGATCATCTGATGCAGTTTTCCTTATCTTGTATAGTTTATTAGGAGCATAACTGATTTTGTAGAGAGACTTGGTCAGTGGTGCTCTCATTGGCTTTTGAGCATAAACCCTCACTGGCATTCGAGTTCTTTTGACATGTATATATGTGTTAGTTATCTATTGCTACATATCAAGATAGCCCAAAATTTAGCAGCTTAAAATAAGAGCAAACATAATTTCACACAGTTTCTGTGGGTCAGGAATTCAGAAGCAGCCCAGCTGGATGGTTCTAGTTCAGGGTCTCTCCTGAGTTTGTAGTCAAAATGTCAGCCAGGGATGCTGACATCTTAAGGCTTGCCTGGGACTGTAAGATCTACCTCCAGGATGGTTCATTCATGTGGCTAGCTAATCTGTGCTGGCTGTATGCAAGAAGCCTCAGTCCCTCATTGTGTACCTCTCCATGGTGCTACTTTAGTGTCTCATATTGTGTCAGATAGCTTCCTCTAA